CGCTCTGTAGACCAGGCTGGCCTCGAACTCACAGAGATCCGCCTGCCTCTGCCTCCCGAGTGCTGGGGTTAAAGTCGTGCGCCACCACTGCCCGGCATGACCTCCACTTGAAATGCCACGATCCACGTGTATTCCTATATACACACAAAATGAATTAATTAAAAAAGCAAAAACCCTGGGCCTGGAAAGATGGCTCAGGGGTAAGGCGCGTGCTGCCAAGCCTCATGACCTGAGTTCGATCTCCAGGACCCGCATGGCGGAAGGCGAGAACCAACTCCTGCAAGTTGACCTCTGACCTCCACTTGTGCACTTGCTCATACATAAATATATGTAATTAAAAAAAACAAAACCACAAATCTTCCACTCCAGGTGTGGTAGGGAACATGACCAGCACTAGGAAAGCTGAGGCTGGAGGATCCCGAGATTGAGGCCCAGCTGAAAACAGAAAACAAAAGCCAATGGACTTGGATTTGGTGGTGGTTATTCTATGTTCCTGTTTTCAGTCTTGTTATCCATGAAAAGGGAGGTAGTAGTGTGCGAGCCATAGGCAGGAGGGAGGATACGGCTTTTTGTCCCTCGTAACTTGCCGTCTCTGCACACCACAGACTCCTAAGAACGGCCCCTGCTTCCTGCAGGAGGCAGCCTGGTCCACTCAGGTGGGGAAAGGCCACGGCCAGTCCAGGCCCTTGAACCTTACCCTGAGATGGGGCACCGTAACAGCCCAACATTGCTGCCAAGCCAGATATCATGGCTTCTACGAGCGTGTGTGTGTGTGTGTGTGTGTGTGTGTGTGTGTGTGTGTGTGTGTGTGTGTGTGTGTGTATGTATACACACATGTGTTCCTTAAGACAAACATGGTTAATTTTCAGGCTAACGCAGTGGGTTTGAAAGAGTGTCCCGTCACACTGTTTCTGGGGGCTATAACTAGTATCTGCTACACTGTTAGCTCCTCTTGGGGTGCTCTGTGCCTGTCCTGTGGTAGAGGTGCTGCTTGGAAAATTCAGGTGGATGGAAGGATGAGTTGGTATGTAGATGGATGAATGGGAGGTGAGTGGGTGGGTGTGTGGGTGAATGAATGGGAGGTGAGTGGTGGGTGTGTGGGTGGATGAATGGGAGGTGAGTGAGTGGGTGTGTGGATGGATGAATGGGAGGTGAGTGGTGGGTGTGTGGATGGATGAATAGGAGGTGAGTGGTGGGTGTGTGGATGGATGAATGGGAGGTGAGTGGGTGGATATGTAGATGGATGAATGGGAGGTGAGTGGGTGGATACACTCATGAGACCACAGCGGCCTCAGTAGAGAAGGCAGTCTCTGGAGAGTCTGCCCAGCAGGCCAGGGCCACACGGGAGCAGCGTGTGCCGGCCCTATAGTCCGATTGTCTCCCTGCAGACGAGGATGACGCCAACAGGCTCGGGGAGAAGGTGATCCTCCGGGAGCAGGTGAAGGAGCTCTTCAATGAGAAATACGGTCAGTGCCCCTGGGTGGCCGGGGTGGGTCGTCAGGGCAGCTTGCATGACCACGGTGACGGATGACATATGTGTTAGTTACTTTTTTTTTTTTTTTTTTTTTTTTTTTTTTTTTTTTTTTTTTTTTTTTCTTTTTTTTTTTTGGTTTTTCGAGACAGGGTTTCTCTGTGTAGTTACTTTTTTCTAATTGCTGTGACAACATACCCCACTTAAGGAAGGTAGGGTTTATTTTGGGTCACAGATTAAAACTAGTCCATAGGGCAAGGACGTGAGGCAGTTGGTCACGTCTGCAGTCGGGGAGCAGAGAGAGACCAATGCTGGTGCCCAGCTCACTTTGTCCATTTTAATTCAGTTCTGGATCCCAGCCTCTGAGATGGTGCCACCCTCATGTAGAGTGGGTTAACCCAATCTAGAAACTTCCTCACATAGAGATGTGCCCAGAGCTGTGTCTGTCTCCTAGGTAGTCCTGGAACCCGTGGGTGATCAATGTGAACTATCCTAACGTATGTGGATGATCAATATGCTGACCCTGGGGTGGGATGGTTGCTGAGTTGGGCTGTCAGAGTCACGATCCTCTCCCTAGAGTGTTTCACCTTTTGACATGGGGGCATCTCTCTCTGGTTCTGACCTGTGCTCTCTAGGAGAGGCCCTGGGACTGAATCGGCCTGTGTTGGTCCCTTACAAACTGATCCGGGACAGCCCAGATGCCGTGGAGGTGAAAGGCCTCCCGGATGACATCCCCTTCCGGAACCCCAACACCTACGACATCCATCGGCTGGAGAAGATCCTGAAGGCCAGAGAGCATGTACGGATGGTTATCATCAACCAGCTCCAGTGAGTGCCACAGGGCAAGAGCTGTGGGGGAGGAGAGGGTACCACCCTGGCCCAGGACACCATCAGCAGGCTCAGCCAGGGGTCGGAGAGAGAGAACCCTGAGTCAGAAAACCAACTCCAATGTTTTGTTGTTGTTTTGAGACACAGTCTCATGTTGCCCAGGCTGGCCTGGAACACACTATGTAGTCGAGGCTGACCTTGAATTCCTAATATTCCTGCTTCCACCTCCTAGATGCTGGGATTACAGGCCTGAGCTAATTTACCCCAGCCCACAATTCAGAATTTCTTGAGTATCCTCTCTGTACTCAAGACGTTGTAGGACAAGGCTGAAGAGATGGCTCAACAGTTTAGAGTACTTGTTGCTCTTGCAGAGGACCCAGGCTCCATTCTCAGCATCCACATACTAGCTCAAACCATGCCTAATTCCATTTCCAGGGGATCCGATACCTTCCTCTGACTTCCTTGGACACTGTGCACAAACATGGTACACATACACATACACACATGCATGCAGAAACTCATACAATAAAATAAATCATTTTTAAAGTTTGAGGTAGGAGCTGGGGAGAAGTCACAATTAGGGCAAAATGTTTGTCATACAAGCATGAAGACCTAGGTTCGGGTCTCCTGGACCCACAGCACGCACCTGTAATCCCACCACAGGGAAGGTAGAAGCAGGAGGATTCCTGGGGCACACTGGCCCTCCAGGCTAGCCAAATCAGTGAGAAATTCTGCCTAAAAATATAACCCAGAGGCTAGAGAGATGGCTCAGCAGGCAGAAATGTTTGCTCCGTAATCATGAGAGCTGGAGCTTAGATTTCGGTGCCCACGTAACACGTGGGGCTTCTCGTGCATGCCTGTGGCCCCACGGGGAGGGTTGAGACAGGGTGGTCTCTGGAGTTTGCTGGCTTCAGGCCTAGTGAGAAAACACTAGTGCCAGCTTCAGGGAGCGACTGTGCCTCCAAGGAATAGGTGGAGAACGGTAAAGAAAGACACCCAGTACCCTCTCTTCTGGCCTCCTCCTGTGCACACAGGCTTGCACACCTGTATACACACATGTAAGTAAATAAATAATTTTTGTTTGTTTGTTTTGTTTTTTTGAGACAAGGTTTCTCTGTGTAGTTTTGGTGCCTGTCCTGGAGCTCGCTCTGTAGACCAGGCTGGCCTCAAACTCACAGAGATCCACCTGCCTCTGCCTCCTGAGTGCTGGGATTAAAGGCATGCACCGCCACCACCTGGCTAAATAAATAATTCTTTAGAATAAAAATAATGTGGAAGGTAACTGAGAAAGACACCCAGCATTGATCTATGCCCTCCACACACATGCATACCATCATGCGCACGCGCAGCGGCACACACGCGCGCACACACACATTCACACAGCAGGTAAAGATGCTTGCCCCCAAGCCTGACAACCTCAGTAAGGTTTCCTGGGACTCTCATCATCAAAGGAGTGAGCTGACTGGACTCCCACAAGTCGTCCTCTGACCTCTACTGGACACACATGCACACATACATGCACCAATTAAATAAATGTAATGAAAACAGATTTAAACAGTAAGAGAAAAAAAAAGATTTGAGGGACAATGGTGTGCCAACGTTTTTCTATAATCCCAGTAACCGAGAGGCAGGAGGAGGAGGATGGGCCAGCCTTGGCTACAGAGCCAGGCCCCGTCTCAAAAGGAAAAGCATTTCAGGGTTTTTGTGCCCTGGTCACTTGAGCCTGTTTTTGGTAGGAGCATATATATGCATGGTGGAAGGTGCTGCTTACCTCCTGAGAGCCAGGGAGCAGAGAGAGGAGAGGAAGGAGAGAGGGAGAGGGAGAGGGAGGAAGAGGGAGGGAGGGAGGAGGAAGCAATGGCACCAGGATCCCCACTGAGGACACGACCACCATGACCTATCCCACCCACTAGGCCCCACCTCGTCAAGGTCTAGTGTGCAGACACACATTAACATGTGGACCATTGGGCAACACTCCCAGGGTATAAAACTATAGCGTGGACTGACCTGGCTGCAGCCACAACCGCTACATCTCAGCTATGGAGAGTCGGTGTCCCGAATCCCAAGGAGCGTGTGAGGAGAGGGAACCACCTAACTGTGGCCTCGCTTCTCTCTTTTTCAGACCTTTTGCAGAAGTCTGCAATGATGCCAAGGTGCCAGGTGAGTCAGAGGCCGGGGAGGCCAGCCTTCTGCCTCCCGGGGACCAGTCTGTTGCCTTCAAAGATAAAAAAAGGCAGGCACGGGCCTTGGGTGGCTCAGGGGATAAAGGTGCTTGCTGCTAAACCTGACGACCTGAGTTCAATCCCTAGACCCCACATGATGGAGAAACTGAGGCAGCTCCTTCAAGCTGGCCTCTGACCTCCATTCATGTGCCACATACACATACATAAATAAATGTTTCTTAAAAATAATAATAATAATAATAATAATAATAATAATAATAATAATAGGTAAGGCTGGGTGTGGATCAGTGGGAGAGTATGCACAAAGTCCTGTTATGATTTCCCTAGCACTACATAAATCGGGTATAGTGGCACACACCTTTAATCCCGGGACTGGGACTGGGGGGAGGGGGGCGGGGAGGCAGGAGGATCAGGCATCAAGGCCAAGTTCAGCTACACAGTGACTTGGAGGCCAGCCTAGACTACGTGAGACCCTGTCTCAGCAAACTAAACCAGAACACTTTGGTGGGAGGTGGGTAGAGGATCTTAGGGCCTTTGAAGGTCATAGGAAGATAGCCCTGCTGAAGATCGAATGATCTGGGGGAGCCAGATCCCTGTACTGAGCCTGTTGGGTAGGTGAGGGGGTATTTTTACCAGCAAGGCAGGCAGGTGACTAGGAGCCAGAAGTGGGACACCTGGTCCTTAGACCTGCTTGGGGATTAAGGCTGGACAAGTGAGCCTCAGCCACTTGGTGGGTAGAAAGAGTCACAGAGGAGCCTGGGATGCTGTGAACGGATGTAGCTTTAGCTCAGAGGAACAGCACCTGCCTAGAATCCCCCAGTAAGGGCCTAGGAAAGAAAGAAAGAAAGAGAGAGAGAGAGAGAGAGAGAGAGAGAGAGAGAGAGAGAGAGAGAGAGAGAGAGA